AGCTGCGGGGTTTTCCTCGGGCCTGCAGCATCAACTGCCCCCCCCAGACTCAGGGGGATTAGGCCGCACCAGTAGGCCTCCTCCTGCTCCTCAGTGCAGCCTCCTGGGGCAGCCAGACCAGACCTCATCAGAGGCTCCTGGAGGAGAACGAGGAACACTGGGGAAGTGGGCAGCGGGCCAGGTCGGCTCCGGAAAGGCAAATCCCAAGTTGCTCAAAGCTGGAGAAGCCCCAGCCTTGTTCAGGCCTCCCTAACTCCCTCCCCTCTAACTCCCAAGCCACAAGAAGGCCGTCCTTCTGGCTCTAAAGGTGCTGAAGTTTTCGGCTCTGCAGTCTCCTGGCTTAATGCACTGAGGGTGACGGATGCCTGCCAGGTGCTCTGGGGGCAGGGTCTGGGCCATTTATCTGACGGGAGATATTTCTCTGTGGCAAGGATACCCCTCAGGCCAGGCCACCATCCATCAGCCCCCAGAGCAGGGGCTTTTACCAGTCAGCAGTTATTGTCATTCCAGCTGCTGCTCATAAATTTTCCGAAGCACTTTCCGCTGGCTCAGGAACTGCCTGCTTATGGGCCCAGGCAGAGCTCCAAAGGTGGGGGGCTGGGAAACCACTGCAGGAGGGAGGGTTGCTGAGAAGGCGCTCAATTTCAAAAGCGAGGTCCTTAGAAAAACCAAAGCACACAGTCAGTGGCAGGCCTACCTAGGGAACAGTGGAGTGGGAGAATCGCAGAGGTTCACAGGGCTGTGGGTGCCTAATATCCCACCCGCCAGACTGTCAGAACAAATGAGCTGCAGAGAGGGTGAGAGCTTGCAGAGAACTTTCCTTCCAGCTCACGCTGAGTGGATGTATCTGCAAACACACACACACACACACACACACACACACACTGAATCCTCCTTTCCCCAAAGAGATCTGGGTTTTCCAGTTCTCCCTCCACTGGCTAATCCAGGCAGATGCAGAGAAGTTTCTCTCAGGGCAAGAGCTGATACAAACAAAAACAAAAACAAGAGCTGATAAAAACAAAAACAAAAACAAACCTTGCAAGATAGCAACAACATTTGTTCATTTAACAAACATTCCTAGAGAGCCTGCTCAGAGCCTGGACTGTCCTAGGTGCTGCAGATGACACAAGGACAAGCCAGATGTCATTGATCATTCAGCTTCTCCTCTATCTGGAGAGAGAAGTCCCAGCAGCACCCACTAAGCGGGAAGAGGGGCAAGGAGGCTTCAGCCTGCAGAAGGACCTTCACTGATGGAGTGCGGCTGCCTGCAGGGCAGGCACAGGGCTGTGTTGAGAAGGGCTTGGAGGCCAGGTATGGGTCTAGGTTTTCTTACTGTAAGTGCGGGCGATAACACTGCTCCACAAGTTTGTCAGGATGAGAAGGGATGATATATCTGAACCACGTAAGATGGTGCCAGGTGCAGGTTGGGGCCCAACAGAGAGTGGAGTCCATTCCATCTGTTGGGTCTTTCTAAGTTTTTTAAAATTTTTAAAATTTTTGATGGTTCCAGTTTTGCTATAGGGCATGTGCATTCACTGGAGAGAGACAGAGAGAGGGAGGGAAAGTGAGAAATCACCCTCCAGGGGGGTGGCTACATCACAATCCCTCCTCTCCATTCTCTTCTCAGGATTTTGGGCATGCACATGCCTGGTGTGTTTTCAAGCTTCTGGATCCAGGACTCAAACTCACAGCTGGCCACATGAGATTGAGCCACCTTAATTACCATGCCACCAGCTGGCCCCAGGGTCCTTCCATCTTGTCCATGGCTGCATGTCTCAATGTCCCTGCAGACAGCAACCCTCTCACTGACAGACTGTGCTCACCTCTTCTCTGCTGAGTTCTGCAGGTTTACTCTGAATGGAGCTTGGAGGACTGGCTGCCCCCAGCAGGTGGGCCCAGATGCAGTGCAAGGGTAGGGGCGTCCTCTGGCCACCAGCCACCTGCCTAGGGTGAAGGGAGCTGAACTGTGGAGGCAGGGGCTCACTACCACAGGCCTTAGCCAGAGGGATCTAACTGTAAGTCTGTAATGTTGCTGCCCATGCCTGGCTCCCAGCCCGTAGGGACCGCCCTGCTCTTTCTCAGCAGCTGTCTTCTCAATCTCATAGTCTCCTCTCACTGGAGGATGGTCCCACTACCAGCCCCCTGCGCTGTCTGACCTCAAAGACTTTGCATGAACTTTTCTTTCTGCCTGCACACCCTTTCCCTGGCTTTTCACTCTTCCTTCGAGTCTCAGCGGAGTGGTCCCTTCCTCTCTGCCACTTCCATCCTCCCAGGGAAGCACTAACTGCTCTGGACTGTCAGTGCCTTACTCCCGCTTCTAGCCCACACTGGACTGTGAGCTCCAGAGGCAGGGCAGAAACTCTGTCTGCAAAATACAGACTAGAGGACTCCAGGCCTGAAAGGGATTCAGTCAGGATGGGGCCCAGGCACTTGGCCTTTTTTTCTGAGCGATTGTTGTTATAGGGCACATGCTGTGTGCTCACCAGAGAGACAGAGAGACAGAAAGTGAGAAATCACCCCCAGGGGGGATGGCCACACTGCAATCCCTTCTCCTCCATCCCCCTCTTGGGATTTTGGGCATGCACGCACATACATCCTGCACGAGTTTTAAGCCACAGGTCCAGACTCAAACCACAGTCAACTCTGTGGGAGTCCAGTGACATAACCAGGCTGGTCCCCAAGCACCTGGACTTTTAATAAGCACCTTCATTCTGATGACCCCTGACTCAGGGTCTTGCACCTGCCTGGCACACCACTGATGGAGTGTTCAGTGTTTGCTGAACGACTACATGATTTCAGTCAGTGACTGAGGGATCTCAAAGGGAAGGAGAGGGCTTGCTGTTAGAACCCAGACGCGGACCTCTAAGAGGTTCAAGTGGTGGCTGGAGCTTGAGGTGGATTATCCTGGCACCCCCCTACCTCTGGGGGGATGCTGTCCTCTGAGTCAGAGCTGTCGTCGTAGACACTGCCGCCACCCCCCTCCAGGTTCATCTGCAGCAGCTGGTCGATGGTGGCGTCCACGGCGCCACTGTTGGCGCGCAGCACGCACTCGATGATGTCGTAGTCCATGTTGGGGAACATGGTCTTGAAGTCATCCATGGCCTGGTTGAACTCCAGGCGGCGCACCTGGCGTGCCGGCCGGCTGTTGTTAAGCTCCTGTGGGGCTGCAGTTTCTGTGCCGCCCCCACCGCCACGCGCCCCAGCGGTGCCGCCCCCGCCGCTGTCCTGCGGAACAGGCTGGTCATTTTGTCCAGCCGCTTGGGGAAGATGTTTCCAGCCAGCCGCAGAGTCCCTCCCCGGGTCACTCCACTGTCAGCCGCTTGCTTGCTCGCTGGCTTGGGAAGCTCACTCCTGAACCTCCAGGCAGCCAAGCGGGAATGGGCGGCCCGGGGGCGCCGGGTCAGGAGACTGCAGGCACCGTGCCCCAGGCGGCCCTAGCGGAGCAGTCCTCACCGCGCAGCGGCATGCGGGCCTGGGCCGTGTTGGGGCTGGACTGCTGGTCATCCACACCCTTGGGGCATTCTGGGGCAGGCTCCGCTGACGGTCCCACCTGAAACAAAGGAGACTGTCAGGGGCGGGTGCACCGCACAAACCAAGCTCAAGGTGGTGGCCAAAGGTTATTAGGAAGTGAGGGCAAAGAGCGGTGACCCCTGCCCTCCCCAGGAAAAGACCTTCTGCTTTCTCTCCTTGTGCAGTGGTTAAACAGCCACCGCTTCTTACTAACCAGTTCACTCAGGCTTCCTCTGTGCTCTGTGTGGGCTAAGGCATGGCAAGCCTAGGAGGCAGGGGCCAGTATCCCCGCTGGGCAGGTGGGAAAACTGGGGCATAAACGCTGAGGAGGGGAGGCGCCAGGATTTGAACCCAGGAAGGATGGCCTGAGCTGCTGATCTCAACCCCTAAACATGCTGCCAAGGACCCCTGAGGACCTGACTGAGGCAGGAGGGGCTCTGTCCAGACACCTGCCCTCCTGCGGTCCAGCCCCCTGCAGGCCCTGATTTTCTCATCACCCTACATCAGCACCCCACCTCGTGGGTCCACCTTGCCAAGAATCTGGCTGACCGCAGTGCTGGGAAATGGACTCCCCAGCATCACTGAAGCTTCCAACCTGACAAAGGAAACACGGCTTCCATCCTTGGAGAGCCTCAAGCTGGCAGGCGGAGCCCCGTTCCCACCCCCCGCATC